TTATTGGTGCATACCACTTTATGTTCTAAGAAGGTGCTGTGCACTTGTGGAGACCTGGACCGGCTACAAGCTTCTACGACAAACACCCACTACTCCCACTAACCCACTACGCTCTTTGGCCTCCATCTTGACTTCAGCTAGGTAGACCTCTTCAAATAGTGACTCTCCTGCACAACATATGATGTTGACTTATTATCCTCCATGCGCATGCGCATGCGCTATGCTACGCGCGAGAGGCGCGCGCGCAAGTGCGTCACGTCGTTCACGTCAACACCCGCCGCGCCCGCCCGTTTGTGTGAGCGCGCGCGCCGAGCGAGGTGCAGCCGGCCGCGTCGCGCCGTTCGTGCTCGCGGTGCGCCGCATAAGCTCTCTCGCGCCCTGCAAGCCCGAAAAGGGTGGGGCTGAGCATGCGCAAAAAATAAGTGGAACAAGTGGAAAAATCATTTCTTCTATTTCTTTTCTTCAAATGAAGAGATGTAGGATGGCGTAAATTATGACAAAAGGATGCCACAGAAGATGCTCAACATTCACCCGACGATACAAAATCATATAATTATACCTTCCAGTCCCTACATCTTCTTTTAACACTCTCACAACCTCGTACTGTGATAATTTATGTTGTAAGAAATGTATCTACCTACTTTATGACAATAAACCACAACATTTTTTCCCTTAACAGTAGACCCCACAGTGGAACGGGAACGAGTGCCACTCCGCATGCTCCGTTAGGCCGGTCGTCGGGGCGGAGGGAACAACTGCACCGAGGGCGCTAACGCGCGGCGACGAGAATTGAGCAGGTGTAGCTGAGTGCAGCAGCACCACCGACGCTTGCGACATACTGGCGGAATAACTGGTGTGGGTGATGGCCTTCTCGAACGCTGGTACTACAACTATATCCCACAACTGGGGCGGCTGCTTCGGTTATGTCCCCACCTTTGCGCAACTTCCGGTCGCCGTAGGGGATCATACGAGCCGAAAGCCTACCCATCAAATCAACACAAAATTTAATAATGATTTATGTATGGATGTCTGATTTTTGTTGTTGCTTTACATCAATATATCATTTATACTTTCGTTCAGTTACTATTTTCCTTCAAAGTAAGGTTTACAGTTCTCAGTTTGCATTCCACAACAAACAAACAGTGTGAAGTATATACCTTCTCTCGGAAATAAGAATGATAAGAACAAACATATTGGCCCTCAACTGAAATAAACCCGCTGTAACTGCTCACAAAGATTTCTGGTAAATACTGCTGGATGAACATTTAATCTCGAGCTCCAAAACATTATGTTCGACCTAGACCATGGCATTGTCTCTTGTGTAGTAAGTGTAGTATATTATGGCATTTAGTCATTTTTATCTGACAGGCATCCCTAGCTTCCTGCATGGAGGCCTATACCTACAATTACTAAAACAACGACACGTGCTTTGTTTTAGCATAGCCCCAACGTCACAGTGAAGTGTTTTATTCTCATATGAATGGTTTAATCTTCACGCAACGGCTAAACCGAAAGCAGCCTATTACTACTGTACATATGCAGGATGCAACATTGCATTCCGAACTTTACTTCGTCACCTCACCAACACAGATGCATTGTGTATATATCAGGCCTAACAAGTACACTGCGCAAGCCTATTAATAACCTTCTGCATGAGATCATCATGCAACTTTAATCAATTATTCCTAAAAGTTTTACCATCTACCGTGAGCTGCCTTTGGTTCTCATATTTTTTAAATTCTGGCCACACAGCGACGTGCACACCTGCTCATCTGGGGCAACCACAACAACACAGGTATGGCCCGTGCATGTGCAGGCCTGCTATTTCTTTCTATAATGGATTAATTAGATTGTCTGAGGAACGATCAGTGGTACATTCAAACGCCATTGAGAATGAATTCCTGTAGCGATGTGGTGTATTGCTAACTCCCTCCCCCTTTTCTTTCTTAGACCCAGACTGGTCTCCTAGCAACAGACGCACCTCCTTCCAAACAACCCACACTTATATAGTAATAATGAATGTGTGCATGCCGAAACAAGGCATTTAGGTTTTGATTGTGTAGAGAAAGTGTCGTCAGTATAATTATGGCATACCTGGTCAGTTTTTGTTACCTGACAGGCATCCTAGACATGAAATTTGCATGCATTTAGGCCTATGCATACATATTGCTAATAACGACATATGCCTTGTTTTTGCATTCATGATATTCCGTACACTTCACAATGATGTGCGTTACTTTCTCAACTCTCAGAACCTAGTACTCTACCCCACCGCACACCATACGAGACTGTTAATCGACAACTGAACTGCTAAAGCCAGAAGGTGTCTATGATAGCAGATGTTCTGCGTATTATAGAGATTTCTTCACCTCATCGCAATCTAATGATTCGTGTGTATCATACGCATTAAACAGTACAGCAGCAGGCTAGCTATAATTATAGCTGCCTTCTGGATGAGGTCACCATGCAACATTATCAGTATTCATAAAAAAGTTTACCATCTACCGTGAATACTGCTGGTTCATATTTAGAGCATTCCTGGTCACACAGTGACGTGCACACCTGTCACTCACGACCCACGCTCCTGCACTATCCCCTCCCATGCTCACCACAGGTACACACCGTGCTGTACATGCTATTCGCTCCTATATGAGTATTAGATTGTCATGCCGGAGGAACGCAATCCATGTGCTATCAAGTATGCTCATGCGCTGTGTGTGTTTCTCTCGATTATTGTTTGCCATACGTAGGCCTTCCATATTTTTATATGGTGCAGATTACGACATGGAAGACTTGCCTGTTTCATGTCATGTGCTTCACTCATGTTTTAACCTTTCATTACCTTAGAAGCTACTCCTTGTCTTTCGCACCTTCTATAATACTACTGGAAGCAAGCAAGCAAGTCTATACATTCTTTCTTACTTTTTAAGCGAAACGAGCTTGCTTGCTTCCAGTAGTTAATAGTTGTTCAATCACGGTTATGTGAATTTAGTATAATAAACTAAAAAAAATCAAGAGCAAAAACACCTAATCAAATTCCGTGATTTTATGCAGTCCTTATTCGTACATGATATTCTCTTCAAGTGTTTTATGTTTGCAGATTTCAGGAAGCATAGCTAATATAACCGTGCCAATACTTTGTCAACTCACAGAATCCCACAGCACACCATACGAGATGGTTAAGAAACAACCAACTGCTAAACCAGGAAAAGTATTACTGTGTTCATGATGCAGGATGCAACGTTGCATTCAACTTTCAAGCAACAAAGTTGTGCATTGTGTATCATGGCCTTAAAACGATAGCTATGATATACCTTCAGCATGAGGTAACTGTGGAACCTTATTAGTATTCATAAAAGTTCACCATCTACCATGAATACTGCTGGTTCTCTTATTTAGAGCATTCCTGGCCACACAGCGATGTGCACACCTGCACGACAACCAACACACATTTTTGGGAATTAATGTTTAGAAATTTTGTTGCAGCCTGGAGATGTGAAATCAGCACCCACTGCATTTTGCTTAGACCGAGTCTTTTCCTAGCATACACATCCATCCGTCCATCAATAAATGAAATGCATTTCATTGTGTATACGTAGCTGCTGCATTTTGACTTCTCTCATGATGCATATGACTTCAGAAGAGCCCCCTTCTCTCTTGCTATGTGGCCACAAATTTCAAAAGTTGCATGCATTGAGGCCTATGCAGCTATACAATTAGCCTAAAAAGACAGCCTTGTGTTGGCATACATATTCCGTACACTTCACAATGAGGTAAGTTGCTTTCTTAACTCTCAGAACGTAGTACCAGCTCTACCACCACACCCTCTACCCCACTGCACACCATACGAGACAGTTAATCTACAACCTACAGCTAAACCAAGAAAGGTATTACTGTACAGGAACATTAATCTCATTCAATGTCAGACTTTACCTCAGGGAACTACGCTGCATACGTGCATTGTGTATAATGGTATTAAAAGTACAGCAGCAGGCATATTATACCTTCTGCATGTGAGATCATCATGCCACTTTTATTCATTAAAGTTTACCATCTACCGTGAATACTGCTAGTTTTCATATTTAGTGTCACACAGCGATGTGCACACCTGCACCCTCACCACCTGCACGAAAACCAACACAGGTGTGCCATGTGCATGCGCATGCTATTCATTTCTATAATGATTATTAGAGTGTCAAGCACTGATGAACGCATGAGGAACGCAACGCATTGTCGTCATGGAAGGGTGCTTTAATACTGACAACTGGACTAATTAAACTGTCGAAATACTCCAAGTGAAAAGTAAAACTTGGTACAAAGTAGCCAATATGACAGGACCTCTCCCCAGCCCTTCAGCCACAATATTATGTGGTGATTGGCTCTATGTAATAGGAAGTGATACCAATGGCTACTCATGCTCTCTTCAGGAACTATTACTGCATTGTCAACCGATATCACATCCACTGCACTCTATTTCATCAAGTCTACATGGAGAGCTCTCCCCACTCTACCTCAGATGAATTCTACAGCAGCAACTCTCTGTGGGGAGCTGGTAGTCATCGGTGGTGGGTTTGAAGAGTCATCTCTGGACTGTATAGTGGGCCAAAAGTGGGTGGATGATATATATTGGTATTATGGCTACTGGGAGAAGGAGGTGTTTGGTAGCCAATGAATCGCCTGAGAACCTCTGGCAGCAAAGTTGCATACATGCATTGTGTATAGTGATATTAAAAGTACAGCAGCAGGCCTTCTGCATGAGATCATCATGCCACTTTATCAGTATTCATGAAAGTTTAGCATCTACCGTGAATACTGCTGGTTCTCATAATATTTAGAGCATTCCTTGCCACAGAGCGACGTGTACACCTGCACCGTCACCACCTGAACTATCATCACCTGCACATCAATCAACACAGGTATGCCCTATGCATGCGCATTCCATTCATTTCTATAATGATTATTAGATTGTCATGCACTGAGGAACGCATCAGTGTGCTATTCAAAAGTGTGCTCATGCATTTGTGTGTTCCTCGATTATTGTTTGCCGTAGTAAGGCCTTCCATGTTAGGAGATAATCACTAACAGAAAGTACGATATATAGTTACAGGCATTCGATATTTTATCTTCCTGCAGTTAAAGGTTCAATGCCGCTATAAGAGCAAGAGACCACCTCGTTGCATGCACAAAGGATCTGTAGTAACTGACGGCAAATCTGCATACTTTACACCGTGTGACTCCACCTCACTCTACAAGTATCAATTCGATACGGAGCAATGGACGCAACTTGTATCATGCCATTATCAAAACTCTGGACTAGTCGTACTTAAAACTCAGGAACCGACTGCAGTGGGAGGATGAGATGCAATGTTCTGCTGCACCAACAAACTGCTCACACTGAGACAGAATAAACTTTTTTGCAAGACTTATGCACGAATGCGAACTGCACATGCAAGCCCTGCTCTTGACTGTATACACCTCCTCTCTTGACTGTATACACCAGCTAGTGGGCCAAAAGTGGGTGGATGTTATCGGTATGATGTCTACTGGGAGAAGGAGGTGTTTGGTAGCCAAGGAATTGCCTGAGAACCTCCGGCAACAAAGTTGCATACATGCATTGTTATTAAAGGTACAGCAGCAGGCCGTCTGCATGAGAACATCATGCCACTGTATCAGTATTCATGAAAGTTTAGCATCTACCGTGAATACTGCTGGTTCTCATAATATTTAGAGCATTCCTGGTCACAGAGCGACGTGTATATACACCTGCACCACCACCACCTGCACCACCTGCGCGACAACCAACACAGGTATGCCCCGTGCATGCGCATGCTATTCATTTCTATGTATAATGATTATTAGATTGTCATGCACTGAGGAACGCATCATGTGTGCTATTCAAAAGTTTGCTCATTCATGTGTGTGTTCCTCGATTATTGTTTGCCATAGTAAGGCCTTCCATGTTAGGAGATAATCACTAACAGAAAGTACGATATATAGTTACAGGCATTCGACATTGTATCTCCCTTCATTTTAAGGTTCAATGCCACTATAAGAGCAAGAGACCACTTCGATGCATGCTCAGAGGATCTGTATATAGCAACTGACGGCAAATCTGCTTACTTTACACCGTGTGACTCCACTTCACTCTACAAGTAGCATTTCGATACAGAGCAATGGACGGAACTTGCATCATGCGATTATCAAAACTCTGGACTAGTCGTACTTAAAGATCAGGAACCGACTGCAGTGGGAAGACGAGATGCATTGTTCTGCACCAATAAACTGCTCACACATTGGCAGAATGAACTATGGCACGAGACTTATCCGCGAATGCGAACTGCACGTTCCAGCCCTGCTGTAGTTAGTACGTCTGACTGCAGCCATGTTACTGTTATTGGAGGGTGCATTAATATTGACAACTGGACTACTACAGTCGAAATACTCCAAGTGAAAAGCAAAACTTGGTACAAAGTAGCCAATACGCCAGCAACCCTATGTGGAGAGCTTATAGTCATTGGTGGTGGTGATGAACAGTCATCACTTGACTGTATTCACCAGCTAGCAGGCCAAAAGTGGGTGGATGTTATCGGTATGATGTCTACTGGGAGGAGGAGGTGTTTGGTAGCCAATGAATCACCTGCAAAGATATAGTTGGAGTATTGGAAGAAGGAAGTGTTGAAGAATGTGCTTGTCTCTGCTAGCCCTATGACTCTCAATGAGTGCTAAGCCATACTCTGCAAGAGAAACGGACATGGTTGCCATACTATTTACTATAAAATCATACTGATCAGAGTATTGGCGAGCGCCTTATTGGTGTGAGCGCCGGCTACGACGTATCAATTAGCGCGCATGCGCACGCGCCCGCCGGCGCGCTACCGATACCAAAGAAGCTTGTGAGCTCTGACTCTTTCATTGCCCATAGGTCATGTTTTTAAAGCAATTTTTTGGTCTCTGAACCTTCTATAATACTACTGGAAGCAAGCAAGTCTATACATTCACATCCTCTCTGACTTTTTAAAACGAAACGTCCTTTAGTAATGAATAGTTGTTCAATTGTTATGTGAAATTAGTATAATAAACCTGTGTTATAAAAATAAAATCAAGAGCAAAAATACCTAATCAAATACCGTGATTTTACGCATTCCTTATTGGTACATGATATTCTCTTCAAGTGCTTATGCTTGAAGCATAATTATAACCGTGCCAATACTTAAAACATTTTTGGTATTGCTTTATTTTCTGTTCCAAATGGAGGAGACCCCATTACAGTTGGTGCTGGCAGACCAACTTCCTGTGCGTGCATTGATGCGCATGCTAAGGGCGTTGCTCTATAGTGTGCACGCCGTTCAGCGTGCGTGGTTGTAACCATTCGCTGTGTTTAGCTTGAGTTCTGCAGATCTTAGGTCGCTTACTGACTCCCATCAATATCCTCGAAAGGGCGAGTAGCTAACAGTTGGCAAATCAGCCCTGTCCGCGAATATCACAGCCTCGTGTATTTACATGCTTAGCTAGCTATTGTTCTTCTCTTTCTCTGGTGGGTGGGGCGTCTCTGCAAGAGCTGGCGCGCGTGCAAAACCTGATTCCCTTTGGTATAGAGAGAAAGATGCCTCAGACATATTAAAAAAAGTGTGGGGTAGTAAACGAGACCCTCTCTTTCTGGACTTGCTTCTGAACACTGACCCCTACTTTTCAGGCTTGGCCTCTCGCTATCTCAGTATTTAATTGATTGCCACTTATGTAAGCGATTGAACTTCTTTTTGATGATAATAGAACGCAGTATAGGCATATACCTAGGTAGCTAAAACGCCAGGCACAGGATGCAGCCGGCGCGGTTTGCACTTGACTCTCGGCGCACAAGCGCAGCGAGGTCTGTGTGTGTGTGTGTCGACGCTTATTCTGGCACTATAGGTTACGAGGCGGCCTATTAGCCATACCATCGGTATCAACTACGCGAGCCTGAAAAGTAAAAGGTCGATTTTCCGGAAACGACTACGTTCGAGAGATATAATTATATTATGCCAAGCGAAAAAGCATAATCGCACTGACCTGATCTGTGTACCTTGGGGGCACAGGAAGTCACAACGAATGGCATGTATCGACTCCCGCATGCTATCTACTACTGTAGCTAGCCCGTGTCAGACTCTCCGCGAGCTACTAGCGGGAGACCACTAGTAAACGCTTACAAACAGCCCAGCCATCAATTAGCACTATCGCGCATGCGCAGTTAGCCGAGGTTGCACTTTAGTGCTTTTCATTAGCTACTGTAGCAACCGTTTTGCAAGGCGAACCACTAACAGGGAATGGAGAAGTCCTTGTGCATTGCCTACCTACTGTGGCTCATATTCGGCTTTGCTGGATTCCACCATTTCTACCTCCGCCGACCCCGCAAGGGGTTACTATGGCTGACGTCCTTCGGCGGAGTCTTTGGAATCGGTAGGTCTGTAACCGCGATTATAGTGCTTATAGCTACATCATGAACACTTCTTAAATTATTTATCCTTTGCAAGGTTGGTTGAGAGACTTCTTAAACATGAGGACCTATGTCAAAGATGGCAATGATGACGAACGGTTTTATAGCGTGGGTATGCAGCATTCAAGCCCTCAAGGTATGATAATTTGTACTGGTAAATGTAGCCACTATCATGCACGCCCTTTACTAAATTGGTTCTCACTTTCGCTATTCACCATTATCGGTTGACAGGCTCAAACCATGGCAAAGGTCCACCAGTCTTGCAAAACTGGCATCGTCTGGTGGGCCAGGTGCTATTTGGAGCCTTCTACCGTGGACTGATCCACTGTGCCATTCCCTGGGAAGGATCTTTCACTAGATTTGTTGCATTTTTAATTCCACTTGGGACTGCTTTTGGTGTACACATGGTCGGCAATGTTGGTCGACAGAAGAGCCGGGCTCCAATTACGCCCCTGCTTGGGGCATATTTCAGTTAATTTATAGTGGGTGAACATGGACTTCTACTGCATCTCGTCATGAATTATAGCAACTCCTTCATTTTCGCTGTCGTTGAAATAATCCCACGGTCCTTATTTGTGGCTTTGATCACAACTACCATCTCAAATTCATATGGTTTGGAGTGGAGGAGAGAGAAGGATTGGAAATGGAAATGGGTGCTTATAACACCAATCGTTTTCTTCTTGTTTCTCAGTCTCTGTGGCTGTTATGGTTTTAACAATGTCTCTTATGAAACTGAGGATGGGGAGTCGATTAAGGTTGGAGATGCTTTTAGGGAGTTTTTGAACTCTCCGACTGGACAGTATATCGTGTCAGACTTTATGTATGACTTTCTAGAACTGTGGAAGACAGGTGGCTTCAAAGCAGTTTTGAAAGAACTTGTAGATGTAATAAGTACAGATGAAGAATACCATGCTTACGATGTACTCGGATTGGAGCAAGGGACGGAGTTTGAGGAGGTTAGAAAGAGGTACAAAGAGTTAGCAGGGAAGTGGCATCCAGACCACCACCTTGGAGAACAGATGAAGAAGAAAGCTCAAGAAAAGTTCATGAAGTACGAAACTGCCTACAAAGTCCTGGAGACTATTAATAAGAGAAAGAAGAAATACTAATAGCTATAGATAGGAACTTTCTTATCTTGTTTTATGTTACCAAATGGACACATACACACTGACACTCCTGTATTTGCATGCTCAAAGTTACGAGGCTATGGTTAAGCAATACCAGTTGGCAAACGACAAACAAAATTGCACACCATCAGGTCTCATCACTGGCTCAGATATAGCTAGGTGACCAAAGGGTGAATATCTGTTACATTATTTACTATTAATGAATAAGAGAGTTGTTGTCACACCATTTACAAAAAGCATTCATATCAACTAACAATGAGTCACACCATTTACTAACACATCAATGAATGACACACAGCGTAAAAGTGTAGCTAATGGTGGTGTTATTGACAGCAGGTAATGTGCATCATAGCTATTATGTACTCTTCAGTAATAGGGGCAGCTACTCTCTTTGTGAGTGTTTCTGACTTAATAAAAATGTTCCATACTACAAGAAAAATGCTGTTGCAGGAATCACAGTCAAAAGGTTCTCTATTGGTAGTTTTAGGAATGGAGAATCACGTTGATGATAATGTATAGCTAGCTAGCTACACGTCATACAGTAAGAATAAACACTAACTGTGATAGATTGCATGCACATGGCATGCACAACATAGTTGGGTGCTAAACGAAAACACAGCGTCTCACTATGATAATTTTTGAACAACATAATGGTCATGTCTAAGCATAGAATCTGCCCACCCATTAACTAACAATCATTGCACATTGCGTCTGACCTAACGTGTAGGTTTCCGCGCCAAACTATGTATATAGCTACTGACACCCTATCTATGATACTAATTTTCTTACATTCATAGGTTCGATGTTGCAGCTTGGATACAGCTATTCACGTTAGGCCACCTGGTATGACGGTCATCACAACAGCACCCAACAAATATTCATCAGCTAGGCAGTACTGTGCTCATGACGGACTAGAGAACCAATGTAAAGAAGGACAGACTAGTTGGAGTTTATACCACGATCTTTAGCACATCTTTTGCACGAACTGCCAGCGCTTGAGTGGTTTCTAGGTCCGTCGTTGTATCCTCGCCCGGGTGCGTAGGAACGTACGGCGCGCGAGCAAGCAGCATGCGCTATGCCATCGCGTCCTAGCGGAAACGTCAGTTTGGGAGCCACGTATATGGCTAACCCAGTCGTTCTCATTTGCGTTTGCTGACGCGTTGGCGAAACGGGAGGCAAGCAAATCAAACACCAGCAATGTAGCCTTCGCTAGATGTAGATTACTCTTTGTGAAATACGTAGCTACATTTAACCTTTTCCGTTTATAGCCACGCAACCCAGACGTTTATGGATTTGCATTTGCTAAACTGACACCAGACGGTGTTCTGCTTTTTTCTACCTTACTTTTTTCTGTTTCCCTGCAGTTTCGCTGAGGCGTAGCTATAAAGCAAACGCAAAACGAAACGAATAGGTTACGGTGCTCTCAAGAGTGTTGAACTGATATCAGACATTGTTATCTGCATTTATTTGCACATGTTTTGGATATTTCATTTGCTAGCCTGCCGTTTCGCTAACGCGTTAGCGATACGACGTCAACGTTAATTAAACGGATGTGAATTGTCCGTGCGGATAAAGGTTCGCTCTTGCGTTGCTGCACATTTTGTTTTAGCGGAGTAGCTATACTCAACTTCAACATGAAGCTCCTGTTTCCACGTGCCTTGTTCGTTCTATTGCCGATATTTGTACTCGTGTCAGGAAACGACACTACTAAAGAAGATGAAACTAATCATGAGCTGCAGATAACTTTCACGTGGACGGATTTTATGGACCCCGGAAAAATCACAACTTATATCTTGAACCATGTACAACAAACAGTGGTACCAGAAATCGTGAATAGAATAGGGATCGGAGTTAAAGGCCTCACCAATATGATTCTAGATACAGTCCATGAACATAGCATTTTTGGAGAATATAATGACCACAAAACTTGGGAAACCTCGGTGATTGTGGAGATAAGAGAACTTCCTGAGAAGATTCGAAAAGTTTTAAGAGGAGAAGTTGAATCGTTTGTTGAAGAGTTATGGGAGGGATCACTAGAAGGAACTTATGAAAATGGTATGTAGCTACGGTACCAGTCATAAAAAAATGCACCAAAACTACACTACGTTTATTTGCACTAAAAGTACGCTGCGTAATTCCAACACTTTGTATTACACTATAATACAGTGTAAACTCTGCGTACCTGGATAATGTATATAGCTATACGCAAGTTTTGTACATAGCTAGGCTGGTACTACAACGTAGCCACACTGTTGATACGATATAGCTACACTTGTAATACACTTTGCTGGACGTTCCTAAGCAACCGCCACGTAGTTACGGGCACCAGCAATTGCTGTCCCCGCATAATAAGCGCGCGCGTGAGTAACGCGCATGTGACTCCGACCACAAGCCACGTTGCGTTTTCTCCGCGAAGCGGGTGGTCGTCTGTCTTGATCCTGGTGGCGTTTCTGGCCTGACAGTGTGGTCCATCGATAAGATCTTGGCCCCCACGTCAAATTCTCTCACTCCTCCACCATCTCCAGGTTGTCTTCCCGGGACCACACCAACACAACGCGGGTATGTGTCCATGCGAGTCCGTCCGTGTACGATGCCGTATGAGAGAAGGACCCCGTGGTCATTTTCGAGACAGAGAACGGTCATAGTGGTGTCTGTGTACTACCTGCATTCTTTGTCACATTCCTGGTTAGCACCTAGGACTAATAGTGCTATAGGCTAGGGCCCTGACCTTTGCCGCCGGGATGGATCATGATCGGAGCCGGACCTCGTCTAGGGCTAGGGCTAGGCCATCGACAGACTCAACCAATCGATGCCCTAGACCAGGTCCGGCGCCGATCGTGATCCATCAGGGCGGCAAGCAAAGTAAGGTGCGAATAGCACTGGTCTAAAGAATGCAGGTAGTATATACACAGACTCCACTATGACCCAGAGAACTGTATATAACCCCAACACGAATTTGTTGTTTTCAACACCTCCTACTCCACCGTCGCCTCTGAACCCGAGGCCTCTATGAGAGCTGGAGTTGAACTAGACGACGCCGCCTCAGAGCGCCGTTCCCTCACCTGTACCGTGCAGGCCCCGGTTTGCCTCACCGCTGAGAGGCAAGGAGTTGGACCAGATGTGTATCTACACCGTTCGTCCCGAAACAGACGAAGAACAACAACGCTTGGGCAACGGGGGTCTTAAAGACAAAATCTTCAATATGTGACCCGCTCTGGGAAAAGGGGTAGCTATATACCATTCGGAGCAAATATAGATTTTAAGCTATGCGCGTATATAGCAAAAAAAACTGGATGGTTTTGGCATATATACTTAGGTGAATAACTTAGCGTCTACCTTTTCGCGTTGGAACGAAGTCGATCTACCGCTTGTAGCGCCAGCAGCGTCCCCTCGAGTTGTGGGCGTTGCCTCCGCGGCATAACGCTCGATCTCGAACGGAAGCAGCTAGGAAGGTGCGTCGTTTTATTCGGCGTGCGTTGCGCTTTTTCGAACGATACGCGTAACGCAATTTTTAATTTTTGCGCCAAATGGTATATACCTTTTCCCAGAGCGGGTCACATAATTGGCGAGCGGAAGCGAGCTAACCTAGTGGTCCGAACGGCGCGATTTTTCTATATATATATGTATATATATAGTCACCGTACGTCGCCGAACTGCGCATGTCACTGTACGTCGTCGGTACGTCGCCCACCCCTCAGTAGGCTCCACCCCTGATAATTTGGGCTCCACCCCTGATAATTTGTGAGCGTGTGAGGAAAGGGAAAGAGTTATGGATCGGTCTAGAGAAGATGCTCTTCGCCGTCGACGAGAGAGGGAAAGAGAACGTCGTGCCAGTGAGACTCCTGAGCAGAGAGAAGTTCGGCTTTCTCAACGCCGATTGCGTGATCGGGAACGGGCAAGGCAACGCGCAAAGCAACGCCGGGCAACAGAAACAGCGGAGGAAAGAAAGCGCGACTAGCGAGAGGTCGTGTACGATCAAGAGCTAGACGCGGTGCAGAATCCGAGGAGGCACATCAGGCCAGGCTCCAACAGCTTCAAAGCGCCAAATTGCTGCCGAGTCCAGTGAGGAGAGAGAGAGGCCCGCCTACAACTGCTACGCAATGTATCTCACTGTTTTGTGCACACACAAGAGTGACTCATACGATTAGACCCAATTTGTAAGCTCGCTTCCCCTCGCCAAAAATGCCATGCATTCGCCTACTAGTTGGCGAGCGGAAGCGAGCTAACCTAGTGGTCTGAACGGCGCGATCTATATAATAATAATATATACCCGTACGTTGTCGAGCGTCGCCGAACTGCGCATGTCACCGTATATACGCCGTCCCCACCCCTCAGTAGGCTCCACCCCTGATCATTTGGGCTCCACCCCTGATAATTTGTGAGCGTGTGAGGAAAGGGAGAGAGTTATGGATCGGTCTAGAGAAGATGCTCTTCGCCGTCGAAAAGAGAGGGAAAGAGAACGTCGTGCCAGTTAGACTCCTGAGCAGAGAGAAGCTCGGCTTTCTCAACGCGATTGCGTGATCGGGAACGGGCAAGGCAACGCCGGGCAACAGAAACAGCGGAGGAAAGTGAAGCGCGACTAGCAAGAGGTCGTGTACGATCAAGAGCTAGACGCGCTGCAGAATCCGAGGAAGCACATCAGGCATGCCTGATTCGCGCTGTCGTCTGACTGTTTTTGACTCGACTCGAATTGTCTACTGCGCTCGGGTCTAAAAGGTTGTTTCGGCGTACTTGGTCCTGTGCAATGTATCTCACTGTTTTGTGCACACACAAGAGTGACTCATACGATTAGACCCCATTTGTAAGCTCGCTTCCGCTCGCCAAAAATGCCATGCATTCGCCTACTAGTTGGCGAGCAAAAGCGAGCTAACCTAGTGGTCCGAACGGCGCGATTTTTCTATATATAATTATATGTCACCGTACGTCGTCCAACTGCGCATGCTCCAGCATTACGCGCTTCTTTTTATCCGAAAGGGATTTCAACATTTTCATAATGCTGCCTGAATCGAGCGGAATCAGGGGAAACGCAACACCTCCGAAGCTATCGAGTATTGCTGCACAGTCCAGCGAGAGATTTTTCTACATTGCCACTTGTTCCCTATTCCTGCAAGACCAATCAGATTGCCGGATTATGCCTGATTCGCGCTGTCGTCTGACTGTTTTTGACTCGACTCGAATTGTCTACTGCGCTCGGGTCGTTTCGGCCTACTTGGTCCTGTGCAATGTATCTCACTGTTTTGTGCACACACAAGAGTGACTCATACAATTAGACCCCAATTGTAAGCGCGCTTCCGCTCGCCAAAAATGCCATGCATTCGCCTACTAGTATATAATATGTCACCGTACGTCCCCGAACTGCGCATGTCACCGTACGTACGTCGTCGGTACGTCGCCCACCCCTCAGTAGGCTCCACCCCTGATAATTTGTGAGCGTGTGAGGAAAGGGAAAGAGTTATGGATCGGTCTAGAGAAGATGCTCTTCGTCGTCGACGAGAGAGGGAAAGAGAACGTCGTGCCAGTGAGACTCCTGAGCAGAGAGAAGCTCGGCTTTCGCAACGCCGATTTTGCGTGATCGGGAACGGGCAAGGCAACGCCGGGCAACAGAAACAGCGGAGGAAAGGGAAGCGCGACTAGCGAGAGGTCGTGTACGATCAAGAGCTAGACGCGGTGCAGAATCCAAGGAGGCACATCAGGCCAGGCTCCAACAGCTTCAAAGCGCCAAATTGCTGCCGAGTCCAGTGAGGAGAGAGAGGCCCGCCTACAGCTGCTACGCAATGTGTTTTGTGCACACACAAGAGCTGACTCATACGATTATACCCCATTTGTAAGCTCGCTTCCGTTCGCCAAAAATGCCAGCATTCGCCTACTAGTTATTATAGTCACCCTGTGCTGCTGTACATTGCTGCTTGTGTATATACACTGTGTACTCATTTATTTTTTACACTCCAGACAATGGGGTGTTCATACATGTCGGTTGCTTAGGAACGTCCAACAAATCTGTTGCAGTGGCCCCAGACAGGACAGCATTCGCGCTTGCAGCGCTCATGCTGTCCTGTCTGGGCACTGCAACATTATACGTAGCTACGGTATTACTACAACTGACCGCTGTCACAAGTAGGTGACTGACCGCCGTGTATATTATGTCGTAGTAAAACTACGCTGTTCGGGTCCATCGTAGTAAAACTTCGCGATCTCGTTTACGCACACGGCACGCGTCATTGTATTTTGTAGACGCTGTAGCAGTAGCTACACTTAGAAAAACTCTGGGCTTCGCATGTAGACAGAGTATATTATAGTTACGTATTAGTTAACGTATAGGCGGCGAGGCGGTACAGGAGATACTCCGAGGCTGTTGACTATACCGGACGAGGGCGTAGCCCGAGGCGCGGTATAGTTAACAGCCGAGGAGGATTTCCTGTACGCGCCAAGACGCCTGACGTTAAAGGATTTGTAGTCCAACTAGCCAATCACAATGCTGAAGTTCTGCTGCGTCATCTTGCACAAATTACTAATGACTGTTGTGTAAACTTTGGAAGCCATACAATTTCTAGCGCTAGATGTTGTGATAAGGACTTCCTGTCCAATACTGATACCCGTGCAGCCCGCAGCCCACAGCTCAGAATACAGCGTATATTCCTAGCACCGGGTTGTTTGAAGTTGGACTACAAACTACAGTAGTGTGTAGAAACCACTTTGTATTTTTGGTCATTTTTTTCTGACTGGTACTGTAAATCTTGCTAATTCACGTTTAGTGCATGCAGCAGCTAAAGGTTTAATTTTTGATTTTGTAGATACAAGTTTCAGAATCGCTGGAAGAGAGTTGAATAATTTACTGAAGAAGTTTATTAAAGAATTTCCTAAAATGGTTCGAAAACTACTGAACAAAGAATTTGAATCATTTGCACAAGGATTCTCAAAAGGTGGGCCTAATGAAAACGGTATAATAATTATAATTATACATGACCTTCCTTATCAGAGCATTGGTATATTATAGCAATGGATGACACACGTAAAATAAGACGTGATCCTACCTGTAAAAACCTTTTTTTAATTAAACTAGGCAATAACAATTTGTTAGACCTTCAAAAGTTGACGGAAGGAGCTTATAGGAGCTTATTGTAATTCACCATTGTCATATCACAGCTAATTCAATGACCACAAATCGCACGAACGTGGCTGCCTACTACCATAGTTCTTGCTAGCTATAAATCAATGTCAGACTGCAGAACCTAACTTTTTAGGCCCACTACGTTCAAACCTACGATATTGCGTAAAAAGTTACAGCCATTAAGTGGAAAACCATTTCCTCAAAATGAAAAGGGATGTAGGGATGGCTTGAAGCATCAAAAAGGAAGAAACAAGGGGTCATTACACAGCAAAGATGCACAAAACTACATGACACCATCCCTATATCTTTGTCTGATATTATTTGCGTATGAATCAATGGAACAAAGATATAGGGATGGTGTCATGTAGTTTTATGCATCTTTGCTGTGTAATGACCCCTTGTTTTTTCCTTTTTGAGTTGCCTATGAGCCAAACACGGCACATATTTTTCGTTTGTGAAAAGTTGTTGTGTTTGTCGGCAGTTTCATGGAAACCAGACGCGCTATAAATTCACAATATTTTGCAAAAAGTAGAACTAATGTTCAGCTTCAGAAACGTATATATGCGTTTCCTTCCTGACTCGTTCCAGTATGGAGATAGCAGGTTTAAAGAAGAAGATGAAGAATATTGACGGGAAAATCGAAAAATCGCATATGAGCGAATTTTCGCGTGGAGAACTGAGGGCACGTAGGAGGTCTTGGGGCATAATTATGTATAGCTAGGTATTGCCTCTAGACTATTGCTAGTGATTTATGAAAGCCTAGAGAGTCGTTATGGCCGAGTTTTGAGGTGTTTTGTACTCGGATAACATGAGATTTGACCTGTGCCATCCTTAATAGAGCATTTACCGACGCTCTAATAGGTAAATGATTATGCTCGCCATTTTAATTATTTTTATGGCAGATTCCAGATTTGACACGGTTGGACTTGTTTTTCTATGTTTTATTATAAATTACGCAATCTGGAAAAATTTTGAAGACTTCCGCAACAAAGTTATGAGCACTGTAGGAAGCAATGGTGTGATTTACCTTCTGAACGTACATATTATATGGGGCTTTCAGAAAATGATTGGTTTGTTTGAAGTTTGCATTAGCTCCTACCCTGACATCTCGGCCGCCATTTTCTATGGTATGTTAATCTTCAGTGTTGTCCACAACCGCCATGTAATACTTCGTATACTCTGGAGGAAAAATGTCATCGTTAGTGATGTCCAGCAAGTGAACAACCGTCTCAGAGAAATTGAAAACAATCAGCAAGCTCTCATAGAGCAAATTGGGCAATTACGGGATTTATGTACTGAGTGCCGTGGACAAGCTCAGAGAAGCCCTCTTGCCTCTCAAAAGTGATTGCTGGATTTTTATCTCCCTACCTAGTGTAGCTAGACAAGCACAACACATGAACCAAAATTAGTATAAAAATAAACTATAATAGGTAGGACTGCCTTTGGTTATTATTATGATAATATCTATATACTGCAGACTAATGACTATACATAAGCGTTCCCTGTCCTGGCACTTAAGTAGCGAAATATCCTTTGTTTATTAATGATGGAGGGGTGTCTGGACTTCTGTAAAGACACAATGTATGGAAAGCTAAATAGGCGAATCTGTGCTGCATCTGTTGGAAGAGACGTATATAGATGAGCAACAACAAGCCAATCTTATCAAAAAGATGATGATATAGTTATGAGAGTGGTTTTTTTCATCAATAATTAGCTAGGACAGAGGGTGATTATACCATCTGAATGTTGTGGAGGGATAGGATAGCTGTTGGAAAATAATGATTGAAATTTTAATTAATTTATTAAAGGTTGCCGAGCATTTTACTTAGTAATGAGCTATATATAGCTAATGAGAAGTGTTGGCAACATGAATGCTCCGCTTTGTGGCACTTTTAGGGTTGGCTAGCATGCTTATAATCGAGGTGTTGTGGATTTTAGTGTAGCTATCATGGTATACTTATGATCGGTATAGTAGGTTTCAATGATCAGTTACGTGGCATTTAACTTTCACTAGCACTCATGCTAACTGTCATTGTCTTGTGCTCTTAATGGCACGATGGTCTTCTGACTTCTCATACGTTTCATCTGGTTTGGTAAAAATAATGCGGTTTGCCGCCACTAGTATGGTATTCATAAAGAGGGCTATTTGATTGGTTGTTGCTAAGCAATGAGCATGACTATAATTATATAGCAGGGGAAAGACTGGTATAATAATTATACTTGTCCAGCCCTGCCCACAGACACAATAAACCTCTCCTTGTGATGACCAGATGGCCAGCCCAGAATCAAAACTCAGCTCAATCAAAACTTCCGAAGAAGCTGTGACAATAGGTATTGAATAGTTAGCTGCTTCGACCATAGGAGATGTACTCTTGAGAGCGGGGACCAGGGTGCCAGAACAGACAGCAATGGCCAAGAGAAACCTTCACCACACCCACAAAATGGTGACCCTCTAAACTCATTGGACAGGGCTCTTCAAGAGGTACCAAAATTATACGCACATATAAAAAAGAGAAAAGAGAATCCAAGGAAATATACCACAAAAGGATCGAAGAGCTTGAGAGTGCACAGAAGAAAAACAAACTTGAGCTACAACACCTCAGACAGTGCATAGCAGAATTAGAGAAAACATAGAAGAGAGACAAGAAAAGGCTGAACTTAAACGACAACTTGAAGGAGAAAAAAGGAAGGTTGATGAAATTGAAAAAGCGGTATTGCGTGAAGTCCGCGGATAAAATATCTGCTAAGCGCTTCTAGCAGAACTTGCGCGCTCACAGCTCGCGCAATTGCAGAGGCGGAGTCGCTTCCGTGCGCTCCTTGAACGGCTGCCATCCTGTCAGTGTTGCGGCCAAACGTTAGCTGGAGAGTCAAACGTGGGCCGCCGGCCCTCCGTTTCTTGGCCGCTGGAGGTGCAGACATTCATGTCCGAGTAGCGCAAGAAGCGCTGTTCAGCGATTTCATGTGCAAGTAGCGCAAGAAGCGCTGTTCAGCGCTTTCATGTGCAAGTAGCGCAAGAAGCGCTGATTAAGCGTCGAGAGACTTTTATTAGGACAAACGCAGCGTGTTTTAGTGCGTGGAAACGGATGCGTGGTAGCCAGCGGCTCAGGAAGTGGAGAGACAGTAGTTTGAACACCGCCATTTTGTCACGGTGTGCGCTAAAGTTAATCGATTTTTGCCTGGCACGCCCCTTTTTATACGCGGACTACACGTTTAAGGAAAATGAACTTTTAGAGACAAGGCTTGAGTCAGTGCAAAAGGATAATTCCTATGAAGACCAACTAAGGCAGGCGGAAAGGGAAAGGGACAAGGTTAAAGTTGAGCTTGCAGAAATAAACAGGCGAGAAGAAGAACAGAAAAGACGTGACGCCGAAAGAATGAATCGCATACTCCTAGACAAAATAAAACAACTGGAGAGTAGTAAAATGTAATAGTAGCTAACAGTGTCTCAAGTAAAAGATCCGTTTTCTCTTCGCTTATTTTTGTGCCTATAAAAATGCAAAATTGTTGACACCCATAATTGGGGGGCGATAGCTAGAGAAATTTGGGTGAGAGATTACCATTCCATACTACAACTTTAGAAAAAGTATTAAGGATAGAGTTGGTTTGTCTCTTCGCCCACTCTTGTGCCTATAAAAAATGGCGAAATG